AGTGGAATTGAAGGTTTACACAAAGTTAGACTTGTTTGTATCACACTTGATTCCTGGATTGAATGCATGTTTTGACCAAGTTGATTGTGGTCCAACTTTTGATAGCCATACAAGTGCATTCTTATTAGCTTTTTTTAGGCCTTCCATTGCTTTTTTGAATGTAAATGGGTTGTAAGCCCCCTGCTTTCCAAAATAGTTGGAACATCAAAAGTCCAGGGAACTGTACTTTAAAATTCTTCACCAAATGCTTACAACAATACCTTCTTCCCACTTTTGGCCACAACTCATTCAAGGCAACATCAATACCCTGAACATCAAACATGAACCAGTGTTAGGACAGATGTCAAATTCTTATTTCAATAATGAACAAAATAGGACAGTCAACAATTAAGAAACTCATACCTTTTGCCTGTCACTCATTATGCACCATGCATCACCCCTGCCTAAGTCTTTTAGAGCATTCTTGAGGTGCTAAATGAAAATTTTCCAGCTATCACTGTCTTCTTTTCCCACTATTGCCCATGCTACTGGAAATATCTCATTATTTCCATCTAAGGCAACTGCAGAGAGTAACACTCCCCCATAATTACCCTTCAGATGAGCCCCATCTACTCCAATTAGGCTTCTACATCCAGCTGTCAACCCATCTAAACAAGCCTTGAAGCATATGAAAATGCTACTGAACTGAATTGGCCTCTCTGGACTTGGTTTTGTCCATGAACAGTGAGCAACAGAGCCTGGGTTTAATTCCTTGAGTACATCACAGTATGTGGGAAAATCCTTGTATGACACATCATGGCCACCATGAATGTCAATCAATGCTTGTGTTCTGACCTTGTACAAGGTACTGAGAGCCATATAAACTCCATATTCTGAAATAGCAAATCATTAAGAGACTTGGCAGGGATATCATTATTTTCCCTGATGTCTTCCAACAACACTCTCTTAGCCCATCTAACATTCACCATGTTATTTCTGGAGTTCAGCCCTTGGCATGTATGTTCTGGGTTGTGAATGGTTTTGATGGCCCATGTTGTACCATCTGCAAGAACTGATGCATGTAACTTCCAGCCACAATGCACATCTGAACATCTAGCACAATACCTTAAGTTGCTAGCATAGTCCACAATTACAGCAAACCCACATTGGATGCAATAATCTCTAACAACATCCCTAAGATGTTTCTTATCAGTGAACAATTGCCACTCTTTAAGCACAATCTTCCCAAATCCCTCATCTTTGTACACTACACCATTGTTATATAACCTGGTCAAGTAATTATCTTCATCCTTCTCACACTCAAAATCAGGATCCTCATAACTATCTTCAATCTTAGGCACATCATCATCTTTCTCAAATATCTCTTCTTCTTCAACACTCTCATCATTTGTCTCAGGTTCCATGTAATCATCTGGGTTGTATGTGTCATCTGCATCATCACCCTCACCATCCTCATCATTGAGCAAAAGCAAACTTTTATTCTCATTGTCCTCTCCTAAATTAATAGACACTTCTCCCCCTCCCATATTATTCACATCAATTTCCCCTCCACTAGTGCTTGTGCTGATCATAATGCCTCTCCTTATAGCAGTGCTCCTAGGAAGTCTTCTACTGTTATCCCCACCAGCACCCATATTGTTCACATCACTATCCCCTCCACTAGTGCTAGGGATGATCACAATGCCTCTCCTTTTTGCAGTTGTCCTAGGCAGTCTTCTCTGAAAAAAGGCTGAGACTCTAGAAGAGGTAGAAGAGACTCCAGTACCAAACTCTCCCACATTATTCAAGGGTTGTATAATTGTTTGAGATGATGGTTGGGGTTGTGAATTCTGGATTATCAATTCAGTTGGTGCTTGGTACTCATGGACTTGGTTAGTATCAGCTTGGTCACTTTGTTGAGGTTGCCATGGGGTAGGGGTGATGGTGAACCAAGACTCTAGTGGATTAACCCTCCCCCTCCCTCTACCACTTTTTGTCCTTCCACCTCTCCCCCTCCCCCTCCCTCTACCTCTCCCAGTTTCAATACTAGACAGTGTTGGAATCTGTCTCCCAATCCCAGCTTGTGTTTCATTCTCTCTCTGAAGCTCAGTTTGTGTTTGAATCTCTCTGTCAATCACATTTTGTGTTTTAATCTTTCTCTCAAGCTCATTTTGTGCTTCAATCTCTCTTTGAATCTGATTTTGTGTTTCAATCTCTCTCTGAATCTGATTTTGTGTTTCAATATCTATCTCAATCTCAGTTTGTGTTTGTGTTCCCAATTTCTCCCCTTCCTTTACCAGACCCTCTGCCTCTACCCCTTTCTTTACCAGATCCTCTTCCTCTCCCCCTACCCCTTCCTGTCCCTCTACCCCCTCTTTTCCCTCTCACCCTGTCTATATCCATCTCTTCTTATAGTCTAATCTCAAGATCAAGCCAAGTTTCATCTGGATCATAGTTTTGAAACTCAGTTTCAACTACTTGTTTACTACCTAACCCTTGAACATACTTATCAAATTCATCCTTAGACACCACTGCTGCTTCAACCAATTCAGGGACTTTGTTCTTCCTAGGGGTCATTTTTTTGCTAGCAGTAGCAGTAGCCTTAGACACCACTTTAGCTTGGTCAGGTTCAACAATTGGATTCTTTCCCTTAACAAGTAATCTAGCTGCAGCAACAACCTTAGTGTCCTTAAGACCATCCCCTACCCATATATAAATCTCTTTCTTCTCAGGCAAGTTTACAAACATTTTCATCAAATCACTATCACTCTGAAGACTCACATGTTTCATTTTGTACACATAGGAAAATGTGGGATTTAGGGATGTTTCAACATTACTTTCTTTTTCTTTTTCCCAATACTCCACAATAAGGTCTATCAAATTCACCTTATCTGTATCATCAACCACAATAGACACATCTACACCCCTATATTGAAACTGAAGTACTATTTTTTCAACCATTCTGCAACAAACACACAAATAAACAACAAATAATCACTAATCATTACTTGGCTAAGAATAATAACCTTCACAAAAAGCACATCATAAACAACAACCTTTACAACACAATCATGCAATTCTAACACATAAATCAGAGACAATATCAACTCCATCAATTTATACTAACAACAAGCAATATTTAACAATCCAGCATTTACACATTGATTATCACAACCCATAAACAGAGCACAATATAATGCGAAGCAAAATTCGACACATACCTGACTTCAACTCTCACTATTAGCAGTGTAAAGCTTCAAAAGATCGAACTTTGTTCACTAACCAACAATCGTCGATAAATTTCCACCCTAAAACCAATCGCAATTCCTCGCAAATTATCTAAAACTCCTCCAAAATTTACCTCGATTAATCGCTTTAACCCAGACAAAATTTTATACTAAAAAATACCCAAAACCCAGAAATTTCAAGTCCTAAATTTTTCGAACTGAATCAAAGTTGAAGAATTCATCATTCTCTCTCTTCTAATGTTCGAACTAAGTAAATTGAATCAAATTCGATGCCTTTTGATTAGACAGAAGTGGTTGGAGGGAAATAAATGGGGGCAATTATGTAACTTCAGTTTTTTTTTTTTAAAACAGCCTTAACCATGGTTAGGGTGAGGATTAAGATTTTACCATTAGCTTAGCAATATAAATTGAGGTTTACCATAGACATTTTAAAAAAGTAGTGTTTACCACTGAGAAAAGCAATAAGTTAAGGTTTACAATTGAGAATTTCCCAAAAAAAAGAGTTTAAACTTGCCAGCTTCAAATAAGGAGTTCCCTTGCTCCTTCTCCGAGGAACAAACAACTACATCACCTGGATTATCCATAGAGGATGTATAGAAGGTGGAAAATACTCTCATCATTGAAATGATCGAGAAGATGAAAAGAAATAAAGGCTAGAAATAACTCCATATTGAGACTCAAACTACACTAAGAAACTCCACAAAGCACTGAAACAACAAACATGAGGAAACTTCCCCCCAAGCCCAGCCGCTCAACAACTACTACAAATCAAAAGCTCACAGAACCACTAAAACATGAAACTCGATCAACACTCTAAAACAATCCCCAAAACCAAATACCCAAGATAAGATATGAAGCAGGGGATACAACCTAGAAAGGAATTAGAAGAACAAAGAGGGGAAAAAAAACAAGGACAGAGAAGGAAAAACAAGAACATACACAACCTAAACCAAAGGACTATGCAGTGAATCCTACTCCATATATGGGTTTTTTTTATGCCGGGTGAAGCTGCTTTTTTTTTTGTTGTTGATTGGCAAGTTACAGATATCAAATATAGATCCCTCAAAAAAAAATGTCAAAGATTGTGTGATTATACTGCAACTAAGAAAAATCAGTCATTGATCAACATCCAACAACCCTCATTTAAGTCATTGGTGATCAAGAATACCACATAGTGTACGCTTGATCGCCAAGACACCAAAGACAAGAAACCAAAGCAAGAACGAAATATATAATTAGATACACTTGGTTTTAAATAGAAAAACCCTAGCCTCCTTTTCTCTCTTCTCTTCTCCATTGTCAATTTTAAAGGGGTTTCCATCGGATTTCATCCGTGGAAAGCCCCAATCTTTATTTTCTTTTAACCTTTTTGTTTTAGGTTACAATAATGTCTCCCTCGAAAGAAAGGGTTTATCTCCTTCGAAAGACAAGGTTTTATTTGTGCTTAATTTGGTCTCCAGTTATGCGGGGCTACTATTGATTATGGCTCGAATTCGGGTTACGGAATCAGTACAAGAATTTACTTTCTTACAAAATTGTGAAGCGACGACGGATCCACTCAAAAAGTTGTATGAGACAACGAATCGAGAATATGCCGAATTGTTATATTTATGTATTTGGATTCTTAGCCTTTCCCCGATTAATTCTTGTTTGATTTTGTTAAATTCGTTTTCATTATCGTTCATTGTTAATTGTAGATGCCGTATGGCTTATTAATGAAATTCAGTGTCCTTTAGGACTTCTTTCAAAAAAAAAAAAAAGACAAGAAACCAAAGCAGCAACACAATTTATATGATCATATCTCGTGGTACAAAATAGATCACATAGTACTACAGAAATCAGTAACAAAATCCAACTATATGATAGATGGCTTACATAACACTAAAATACATATACACCAGAAAGCACAATAAGGCTTAAGGGGAAATGATATTAGTGTTCCAAAATTTAACAATCCCATACAAACTCTAATTTCATGAGAGCAAGCGGAAGTACAACTTAAAGGGATTAACAAGATCATTTATCTTGCCGAAAACATGTAAAGCAATTGTTAGATAAAATAAATCCACAACATGAACATGACGTTCAGAACCCCCTGGACTGCTAAGCAGGACGAAATTTCCAAGCTTTTATCTTTCTTAGTGAAAATAAGTTTTCCTTCTGGAAGACTTTTTTCTTGTTCCTGTTGTTTTGGGTGGTTGTGCATGGATTAAGTACAAAACTTCTCACGATTCCAACGATCAGAGAAGTATTTCTAGAATGATGATCACGGCATAGAAGGAGCAAAGCCAGCTCCATGCCTGTGTGGTGAAGGAGGAGGCAGCCCTCTGGGAGAAAGTTCAGTAAATTCCAGTGCTTGGAATCTGAGTTCTAAGGGATAATCAGCAATACATCCAATCCTAGGGCCAGCCCCAGTTGACCAGGTCCTCGATAGTTGATGTCCCAGTTCATATGTATTCATCTTTTTGGAATTGATCCTTTCGAGTATTGCTTCTTTGGGAACCTCTGTTCTTGGACTTTGAAGACCGCCAGACAAAGTTCTCCTGTATTCATTTCGGGATTCAGCCTGCTCCGGCATAGAAGGTTCTTGTTTCACACTTTCTTCATTGCTTATAGAAGAAATATCACTGTCAAGTACTTCAAAAGCTGATGTTTCAATTTTGGTCACACTACTGGATTGATTGTTCCCATAACTAGAGTAGTCCTCATCTGGTCGCTTAATCTACAAGTAGAATATGCAAAATTTAGGAATTGCTAATGTCAACATTTCAAAGAGTAACCTTTCCATTCGATCCATTTTTTCATCAGAGCCAGAGGTTATTTCCAAGTTTGGCCAATATCATTAATCACACATCGCTTTGTTTAAGCCAGGATATAAGATGTTAATTAGTTCTCTACACATCCAAGAAGAGTGGGAGGAAAAGAACCACCAACTTACCTCAACTTCACTGAGGTCTATGCCATTATCCTTTAAAACTGAAAGAAAGGCGTCAAGGCGGTCATCAGATGGACGGTAATGTCCACTGTATGCTGAGATGGACTGCAAAATAAGGTTGAATAAAAATTAGATTTCAGAAAAGGATTAGAATTACAAAGTGAATGTACTGTTAAAGAATGACTTGAATGAATTTAGATCCTCAATAACAAACATATTTTAACTAAGGAATTCAAATCATCAACAGTAATATGCTTCTCTGCTTCGCTAAGGCAGGAACCATACTAAATGTGTGCTACAAGCCAGATGATAGCACAAGAAATTTCCTGGGCACAAACACAGAAATGAGCACACCTTGAATCCTACGGAGGTCATTGGTCAGTAGTCATTCATTCAAATCCGAGAGGAACACATGGTTTATAGGTTTCAAAGATATACAAGTAATTCTCATTTACTTCAGCAGCAAATAAATAGAGTTCAAAAATTACGAATATGGAAAATATGCCTGCAATCTTTGAACTATACGCTCATTAATTTTTAACAATATGTGCATTCAGGATCAGGATGTGCACGATGGTCCCATGTCCATGATATAACAATTGCATTGCAACACTTTATCGAGAGTGACATAAGACTTTGAAACCAGCAAAGAAGCAAACAAAGACCATACCAGTACCAGTGATTGGAGGGGAGCAAAGATCTATAATCAATACTGTAAAGAATAGGGTGCAGTGCAGGGGAAGTGTTCTAGTGCTTCATCTTCAATATTTAGATAATAAGATCCTTTCTACATCTTTCAACTAAGAGTATAAGAGATCCTGCAACATCAACCTAATTTCTGGGTTCATTTCAGGCCTTGGGGTTGGTCACCCTATGAAATGCCTAGCTGGCATTAACACTGTATATCTATATTGGACTTATTATGTCTTTTGTCAGGTGTTAGATTCAGAGTAAGCAAGTATATAAGGGGTAGAGTGGCTTTGGTAACTTGAAGTCCACTAATATCATAGTGAGGTAATGATGGTAGTGCTTTCCCTTTAGAAACCGATATCCCGAGCATAAGGCCCTGAAACTTTGAATAAACTTCTGCAAAACCATTAAAATTCCTATGTTGGCTCCATTACTATACTCATGATTTCACTTGTAAGCTAATTCAATGTGTGTGATGTGTCTCTCTTTTCCTACAGAAAGATAGGTTCTTCAATGAGGACATTACATGGAAAAGAAAGGGCCATTTTCCTACAAGATCTTCCCATTTGTTCCATGTTCTCCTTGATGATGCTTCTTGTGTGACTGAGGGTGACCGGGTGTTGTGTACAGTAGGGATGGCAATGGGACGGGTTGGATGCGGTCATGCGGATGATGGTACCTCCAAAATCTTCAATCCCACAAGATAAACAATTCCAGAATTTAAGGTGTTTTAAACTTTGTAGAATACCTTTTGATGTGAAGACAAAAGTTTGGATCTTTATTCTTATAGAGAATTCATTCACATAATTATTCATGAGCATGTAATCTATCTCATTAAATTCCCATTTGTGCTTATTTGGCCTTCGCATGGAGGTCCAAAGTGCCTACTAACATAAAGTATGGAATAGCTTTAAAAAGTAAATAATATTATACACAAAACATCCGACAAGGACACAAGGTTCCCTCTCAAAACATATCTACTTTGACAGAGGTGAAACAGCACATGCTTTGATTTGTTTTTTCATTGTGAGGAAGCTCAAAGAGTGAGGAGATGTTTGGGTATGAGTGGAGAATTTCAGCTATGTCTTTATTTTCACATGCAAACCCTTTGTTCAGTGTAGCTTGTGCTTTAAACTATGAAGTGTGCCTGTATAAAAATTGTGAGACCCCCCCACCCCCCCACCCTCCCTCTCTTTTTCACCTGCCAGAACCAAGTTACAAAGCAGATCCAACAGGATACGCATCAAAACCTCAATAGTTTTGCAAAAATTGTGCCCAGGTAGCACAAATGTTCTCTATATTACTCAAACACTTATGTAATGATTCAGATTACATTGGAGAAATGATTGTCTTTCTTCTATTCTAATTCACATTCTAAAGTTTGGTGGAGAATGTAGCGTATAGTTTGGGCATACATAACAAATAAATTGATAACTCAGCAAACTATCTAAAAAGTTTTTTTTTTTAGAAGATCAAACAAAGCTTGAAAGACACAAGTAATTAATCTGGAAATTTCCTTCAAGAAGAGGAGTTAAAAACCCAAAAGTCAAGAGAAGAACAAACATGCCAAGGGTTGGACACCCATGCAGCTTTGCTTCTGGCACCCAACACATATTTGCGTTACAGTGGCAGTCGCATGCGCTCACATTGCAGAGAACCAAGCTTCAAACTATCCTACACGCCCGTGCACACAAACTACAAGCCTATAATTCTACCCATGATGTAAATAAAGTGAGTCAACATTAACACACAATTTATTATTTGAAGATTAACAATATCTTAAAAAAAAAAGACAGGACAAAAGACCGGAATACCTCAGAAAACTGTTCTAACATGAACTACAGACTGGAATAATAAAGTGATGGAAATCCATCAAGAATGTAAACTTTACCTTGAGAGTACCATGTTCCACAACAAATCGTCCAGCGGCTACAGTAGCTCCTCCAGCTAAGAAGCTAGAATGATGAAATTTTCCTTTCTTTTTCTGCAATAAGCTTGGAAGGTGTCAGTGGTCGTGAATACCCAAAACAAAAACAAGAATAAAATAAATTAAAGACAATCCTTTGCTATTGAGTTCTCTAGCCTCTAGGAGATCTTACCTCACCAGCATACAATTTCTTGCAGGTGCTCATAACAAATATCCATTTAGTAATCTCTGATGTTTTCTTCCTTGTTTCGAGCAACTCCCTAGTGACTTTGTGGATGATTTTCCCCTCAGAAAAAATGTACTCGTAATGTTCTCTCTCTTGCTGCAAATACCAAATAAATTCAATAACAGACATAAGAGGATTAACACTATAAAAGATAAAAGTGCTTCCACTAGTGAACTTTATTAACATTAGTGCATACAGGTCCAAGATACTGGATGCATTGCTCACGTAAATCCGATCTGGGACATGTTTTGAGATCTAAATCCTTTCCATCTCCGACATCCAGCCTACAAAAACACAGTAACCAACATGAATCCTAACCCATTCTTTCAATGTATCAAAGGCATAAAATCTAACAACACTGTTTGAGCAATCCTAGCCTCCTGTAGTACACATGATACTCATGATCAATTAATTTTGAAATCATACGAAATCTATGATTAAGCTATGTCATATTCATGGGATGTTTCCTCATTGCCAAACAGAATAACCAACATAAGACACACTAAAAGCAAGACAAGCAAAAGACAGTTCATGGGATGTCAACAACATCAAATGTAGTTCCTAAGGGATCAATAGTTTTCCCCTTATTCAGCAGAAAAAAGTGTTCCAACTCAACCAATTTCTAAGCATATACAAACAGATGGCTTCCAGATTCCGATAATTAAGTAAGCCATTCAGAGCACAGAGAACCCAACCCTTACACTCGCGTATCAGCCCCTCACCAGACCCTGTAAGACGCGATGCCCATAAACACCATATTCCAATTGTATCATAACATGGCATAGAAAAACAATGTACATCCAATAATCATTATTAATATACATTTTCATCTACAAAGATATCCCAAAAGAACACAATCCCAAATCTAATTCCCGGAAAAAGGCGCTATATAACAGAATTATTCCAGACTCAGATGCTTACCAATAGAAAAATGGTTGACCAGAATTTGCTTTACACCATTCATTATAATAAAGATGCAAAGTATGTCCATAACGATGCCTTGGATCAATCTATAACACAGTACAAAATCAATAATTTGGTCAAAAAATTTCCAAAAAAAAAATTCAATAGAAAAAACAAGAGCAAAAAAAGTGTTGAAAATTACAGCTTCAATCCAATGCTGAAAAGCCAACTTCTGCGCTTTAGAGTCCTGAGACAAACCTTTACCCACCTATTTACATAAAACACCCAAATTCAAACACCACTCCAAAATTTCATCTCAATTACAGTCGTTTTTCTTCGACTGAAAAAGGAAAATGATATAAACAGCCCTTAACAACCGCAAAAAGTAATTTACTCACTGACCGACACTTGTCGTAAATTAAACAAAATTACGAATGCGAGAGAAACAACAAAAAAAGAGTGGATGAAAACCTTGGAAGCAATCAAACTAACTCTATTCCAACGAGACGCCGCCGATTCAGGAAAGTTAAAGAAGGAGATTGTACTATGGTTTAACCTAGCGTAGTCAATCGCTTGCCACCTACCAAAAAAAAAAACCGCCATTAATATCACACTCGCAACAAAAATAACTAACAATCACAAAATGCAATATTGTCGGGAAAAATGTCTTATCGTTTATCGTTGCAAATAATATGTAACGGAGGTAGTAATAATTATACCAGAGTTCTTCGGCGACAACGGCGGTATCAGCTAATCTACGACGAGTACGATAACTCCGGTAAACCTTCTGAACCTTCAACGCAGCACCAACGCTAGAACTCACCGGAGATGGTTCATCCAACGAGTCAACCCAGCTTTGACTCGGTGGTAACTCGGTCTCTAGGTTGCATTTTCGACGGTTTGTGAAGGTAAATTGCGTCGCATTTCTTGTACTCAGAGTGTCAACCTCCATTTTCGCCCTTTTTTTTATTTTTTTTTTACTTTTTTTTGTGAGTGGAAGAGAGAGAAAGGAGATTATCGGAATATATGGAGGAAGAAGGAGGAGAGAGAATATAAAAATATTAAATAAGGGTGGGTTGGTTTGCCGGAAATGCTGACGTGGAAATTTCGTAATTTTATAAAAATTAAAATTGAATTAATAGCAGTTATTATAAACAGGTTGGCAGTTTCGTAGTGGTTAGTTGTAGACTTGTTAGTCGCGCGTGTTTATTTTATGAATACAAATAATAATTAAATAATATTATAAATAGAATATCTAGTTTAATAAATTAAATTAAATTAAATTTGGATTGGTTGACTCGTCTGTGATATGGTCCAGCAAAGATTTTTAGATTTGACTTGGCTTCTTCTTGTTTTTTTTCGTTTGGATTATGTTATAAAAAAGTATGAATATAATTTGTTAAATTTTTTGTAATTTTGTCTTAATTTATTGACTTGGATGACTTGGAATGAATGAATGGGTGGGTGAGATTTGCGTGACTTGGAAAAGTTGGAAGGAAAAGAGTAGGAATTAGGGAATATTATGAATTTAATTGTAAGTTAAAAGATGTCATCAACCTAATACCATTGTAAAGTAATGGAATTATACCTTTGGATAACATTTTGAATTAGTTTCTGTATTTTAACCATATGCTATAATTAATTAAATTATTGGAGTTTAATATTAAAATTTGAGACAATAAGTACGAATATTAGTGTCATTGGATTTATAAAAAGAAAAAAAAAAATTTAACTTCATTCGTTCCTATTTGTTGGTTGAGTTTGGAATTTGTTCGCGAGACAAAAATGGGTAAATGATAACTAAGAATTGTAGGAAGTAGTATTAGATGAGTAAATGGTGGAACTTTGACCTCTCAAGCAAGACATAAGGATTTTAAGTTCACCTTTTCTTACGTATGTCATGGTTGGTTGTTAACCATTTGATCACAAATATTTAACAGACTCGTAATTTTCAATATACCTACTTTTTTTTCATGTTTCACTTCGTATGTGTTGTGAGTAATTGCGTTAAAGTTTATAAAGGCTAGAGCAAGAACAACATCAAGAAAGAAAGTGGTGTTAGGGCCTGTTCATATTTACTGAACTGAGTTGAACTGAACTGAACTGAACTAATTGGAGCTGAACTGAACTGAACTGAACTGATTGGAGCTGACTGAATTGAACTGAAAAATTAAAATGCATAAAAATATATGAAAATGTTTATGAAAATTAATGATAATATATATAGTGGATTGTGAAAAATATAAAAGTGTTTTAAAAATAACTCTGTATTTTAAATTATTATATTTTAAATTATTAAATTTTTGTGTATTATATTTTAAATATATATATAAAAATAAAAAGTATTCTTCAATATTTTACTGTAGTCAATCGTTGCTTGTTGTACTCTACACAATTTTGTTCGTTTACATGAACTAGGGATTCCATTCACGCACCAAGTTGAAGTCATGGGACCAACAGAAGATCATACTATGTACGATGATAACAGAAAAGCAGCTATGGATATTGTACGAAACCAAATAACTGATCAGATATGGGAGTCAATTCAGAGGAATGCCGAGGTAATGAAGCAACTTAATGAAGAAGAAGAAGACGAAGAATTAACCGATTATGAAAGCTAGTAATTGTTGTGTAATACTCTCATTTTGTCAATGAGTTCAACTATATAAAAACATGTGACCATTTTGAATGACGAATATAATTTAAAATAATAATAATAATAATAATAATTATTATTATTATTATTGTTATTATTATTATTGTTATTATTATTATTATTGTCGTTGTTGTAATATGCTAAAACATCTCAAACAAAAAAATTAACAATTGAGCTGAACTGAACTGAACTGAACTAAACTGAATTAAACTGAACTGATTGGAGCTGAACTGAATTGAACTGAACTGAAAATAAGTAAATATGAACAGGCCCTTATTCTCTTCAATAATACTTTTTTTAGACAAAGACAATGCGTCATATCGAACATGAATCTCTCACGTATATTTTGAGTTAGCGATTAATAATGTCTTTTAAGAGTGGAGGGGTGGGGGTGGGGTTGGGGGGGAGGGAAGAGAATCTCGCCCTGAAGTGAATCGAAAATTGATTGGTGAGAATGTGAGATATCATCTGTACCTACTTCCAAAAATATAAACGATTCGTTTGATAACTGGTAATAAATAGTGGTAATGAAAATGAATTTTAAGTGTAAATTGGAAAGGATATTAACATTGTAATCCTGATGATAATGCAATTTCATCCTCATTTTCTCAAGCACGTGTTTTGTTTATATTTTTCATTACCATCCATTACCACTTGTCTGGTGAGAATGAAAATTTATATGGAAAAATATACAAACTCATTTTCATTGTCATCATCAATTCATCATTTATAGCCACTTATCAAACGAGCCGTAAGTGTAAGGACATGCTCCATGCATGCCCACAGCTTATATAATGCAATTAAATAATTCGATGGAAGTAAAAAGAAACTGAACACGGGAACAATGCACGAGTATTGAACCCAAATTCAAAGACACTACTAGTTGTTCTTGAAAAATCAGTTGTTAAACATGTATAATGTGTTGTACGAGTACTCGTTTTCTGTGGCATGTTTATCGTCCAAAAACGTAGCTGAAGCACTGTTTAGTCTTTAACTCAACTGGGGTCACTTCCTTGAAATTTCATTTTATGGCCACTCATCATTTTCCACTTTTTTTTCACTTCACTTCATTCACTCTCTTTAGACTACTTTTTGCTTTCTCTTTTTAAATATCTCTTTTTCATACACAAAGAGTATACAACTACAACAAATCTAACATTTCCACATTAGGAATCTAGATAGATCCATATATAACATGATTTGGCTGGTCAACTCAAATGTACAACCACAATTTAAATGCATGCTTTCTTCATCATGATAATCTATCTAATAAGTACTACATTTCTTTTTTGTCAAAAAAAAAAAAATAAGTACTACATTTCCCATCATTTTTAATTTTATTCGTTTTTCATTTTTGAGTAATTTACACTGTGGCGGAAAGAAAAAGGAAAATATAATTGGTAACTTTTGATAGTTTAAGGGTAACTAAAGTAAATGGGTAATATAGGTAACTTTTAATAGTCTTGATACATGCAAAAACTTTTACTTATCTTTATTAACTAGTTTAATCATGTGTGTTGCACGGCTTGAATAGATATTATTTGTTTAAAATAGTTGTCAATATTCTGTATTTGAAAAAGGCATAATCATAATCTCATCAATCAATTTTGAAATAAATATTGTGTTTGTTTAGTTTTAGAACTTAGGAGAAAAAAATTAGAGAGAAAAATGATGTCAAAAATGGTTTTGACGGGAAAACTTTTCATAAGAAGTCGACAAGTGTATCTTAATGATGTCAGCATGTTTTGTTTTAGTAATAGTTAATAGAATGGTCATATATACTGACTCATTTTATATACACACTAATTTTGTGCCATGTGCGATGCCCGGGTTATTTATTAAATTTTGAGATAAATTTTTAATCAATATGTCAAATTTCAAAATATATCTCTAATACAAACATAGTTAGGAATTGATGTGCTTTTATGACGATTTAAACTATGTAGTATGCATCTAAATGACTAATAATAATATTGATATTTTTTTTTAGAGTTATAATCTAATATTTTTTTAGTATAATTATAATTCAGTTAATACATATATATGAAATATTGGTTTTTTTATCGAAAATAAAACTCTCAACTAAGATTTTATCCTAAAATTATATCCAAATTTGGTTGAAAATAGAATTCTAAACTAATATTTTTTTTATCATATGAAGTTTATCTAATATATGCAATGTGACGTGACATTTGGCTTTGATACTTTTTTTTGTTTATATTAAGATTTAAAACGAGCAAAAAAATATTAAATGACCAAAAACTACCATTGGGTGCACCTTGCACCCAAGCGTATATAGACTCTACATTCCTGTGTTTCTAGATACTCACCCACCTTAAGTGCCTCATGTACCAATACACAAACTTGACCTTAAATACATGCAATTATTTAGCGAAAAAAATAATAAACAGAGTATCATAATTGTAGGGAATATTTTAAGCCATCCCACACTTAAGTCCCTTGTGATCATACATTTAAGCATGGTGACGTCCAAAGAGAAGGAAGCTAGAGCAAAAGAGTCGCCAACAAGTTTTACAAACTTGTAAACCGTTCACAGGGTGAAGGTTACACCCCTTAACGATCTAGAAGATCGTTAACTCCAATAGGTCTGGAACCATTATGACTGGATGTTCGGGGATGAAAGTACAAATCCAACCTAAAAGAGATTGAACCTGCCCTGAAAATAGGTCTCTACTTTATTCTTCTTGTATTCATGTGCGCTTTCTAACTAACATACAATCAATAGGTTTACCCTAAACCTGTTTAATCTATGTTTGTTGAATATTAATGAACAAACAAAACTATTATTGGCGATCGCTTGAATTATAATCATATTAACCCTAAATAAAATTATTAATTATCTTATTAAGCGTGATTACAAGTACAAATTCTCATTAAAAATGCATAAAAGGTGTGATCAAGCAATAATAATAATAAATATCAAGCAACATAATAAATTATAATAATTACAATTATAGTCATAATCAAAATAACAATCATAATTAAAAATAATCATGTTAAAGCATAATATTAATAGCAAGATCCTAGGCATGATACTAACAAGATTAATAACAGACACCAGCATGTCACTAAACAATAAAGATAAAAACTTTAGCTCTAACATGATAATAACATGATATTAAGAAATAGGAAAAATACACTTTAATAATTCCAACTATGGGCGATTTACCTACAATAATCCCAACTATAGTTTATTCTACAATAATCCCAAATATTAGGTGAGTTTTCCTCCAGCAGTCCCCAAAATCGGTTACCTGCTGAAAGGTTAAACTTTTTTTTTTTCTTAAATGACACATGAGTACATGAGTGGCCTAATATTACAATTAAAAAAAGGAAAAAAAAAAAAAAAAACCATCCCAACCGCCCCTAGCCCACCGGAAACTGCCACCAACCCTTAGCCAAACCTCCAGACCACCGAAAAATGGTCGGCGAACCCGTAGACAACCGGAAAACAGCCGGCGGGCCCTCCCAATCCCCAAAAGCACCAACCACGATCCACCCCAACCGCTATTGCTCCTCCCGCACGGCCAGCAACGCCTACGCAACCACGTACGACCCCTCC